CAATCATCCAGCAGGCTAAAGCTTAGTGAGAAAGTCTATTCAGAAATAAGCTAAGCTTTAGTCATCCATTCCTTCTCCTCCCATCTCTGTCAGCGACACAACACAGACGGAAATAGCACTGAAATAAGCTAAATGCTGCACTTCCACAGAAGACACAATAGACACCCTGTAGACAGAATTTCACAAGTGATGATTCACTAAACTGTGCCTGTGTGTTTGTATGTGTGAACCAAGCAATAACTCACTATGCACAGCAAAGGGATTACCATCACAGAGAACAGTGAGGCAGAACTGGGAAATATCCAGAAATAGTATCATCCAGTTGCTTGATTGTTGCTCTACACTTTCTGTGTAGATGTAGACAGAGCTGCTTCTTATCAACAATCTTTGCTTCCCTGACTACTGCACAAGCTCCTAGCTGTATTCAAGCTTTGTTCTTTCAGTGAATCCCATTTGTTACATCCCTTTCTCAAAAAAAAAAAAACCTTTTCATGTCTCTATCTCTTCCTCTTCTCTATTTATTCCCTCCATTCCCTCTTCCACCATAATACAATAATACAGAGTTAATGAGGGCAGGGCAAAGTGATCAATCCCATTTTCATCCATATAGATGGCACATCGGCAGACTACATCTGCCCAAATAATCTCTTCTCTCTCTCTCTCTCTCTCTCTATCCCCCTCTATCTCTCTCTTCCACTCCACTCCCACACACACACACACACACACACACACGGTCAGACTTCTTTTTGTACCCCAGGGGGAGTCATTTTGTATCACAGGGGGAACTGTAACAGGATTTCTGTAGGATCTTAGGTCAGAGTGGGTGGTCATACCTAACTGAATAAGGAGAATGAGAAAATCAGATCATCTGCAATAAAAGCTGATTTATTTCCGTATTGCGCGCAGGCAGTCGGTGTTTGCTACCTGCTATGAAATCGCAGGAAAATGACAATATGCCAATAATAGGATTTATTGGCTGAAGCGAAATGAAAGTGGAGGCCCATGATCACGCATCCATCCATCAACACATGTTCACACACGGTTTAATTGTCTCGATTGTTATTCACAGAGCTAATTAGATGACAAACTGTACCAAAAAAAGAAACCGACCATCACACAGAACATTCAAAACCTAAACTAAAAGCCAAATTAAATGTGCTTAAAGTGTGCACATGTGCATGGGAAGTTACACATGAGTACCACCTACACACGTAACTACACAGAGTCAGGCTATGACTATCACTGCAGCAGGAGCAGAGACAAAGAGACAGCTTCTTACTGGGAGAAAATGTGGCTTGCAAAATGAACGTCAGTCATGCAAAAACACACTTACTGATGAAATTTATAATCTCCTAAATTGTTTTTTTTTTCAGTGTTGCTTTTGGCAAGTACCAGGAATGAATCTCCACTAAATCAGACATGGTCCTGCTTCACTGTCTGGTTTTGCTGTGCTATGCAGCCTGTAAGGAGGGATTGTGTTTGAGATAGATAAAGGGAAGACAAATGTGCAGGAAATGAAAAGAGAAATGACAACGGGAATAAGATAAATTGGGAACAAAAAAAACAAACAGGAACTGATAGGGAGATTAGTATGATTAGAAATAAACAAACTGCTACAGTCTGGAGGAGAGACTTAGGAAACTTGTGTTTATTGGTTCATTGAGCCCTGCAGTTAAAACACAGACTAATGTAGATCCAGACAGGGGCAGCATGGAGGAGCGGAAAAAGGATGTCTGTCCACGTTGGTTGCTGGTTGCACCGCATTGTTATTAGCAAAGCCCCTCCACCCACTACTCTCACTCCTGTCGCAGAGAAAAATGTTAACTCTTGCATGGCTGGTGGGCGAAACTGTATGAGGGGACAAAGACGGGAGAGAGAGGTGAGGATTGGAGTTCACCAAAAATGTAAAGCCGTTGCAGACAAAGAATTCACAGATAATGGAATACTCTGTCCGGAAGTTGGCACATGCTCACACAATCACAGCCAGACATAAAGCTGGTAAGGTGAAACAGCTCAGACAAAGAAAAGCTGAGTGCAACTTAGACAGGCTGAGTCACTTCTGCTTATTTTAGGACAATATGATAATCGAAACAAATAATGCTGCAGAGAGTGAGGCGGGGGCTGGAAAGGAATTTGGGATGTGGGGGATTCGAGTTAGTATTGCAATGTGTAAATGTGTGTATGCATGTGTAATGTGCAAGTGGCAAACCCCTCGGGGGTGGGGGAGGGACAACTGGCAAAGGATCAGTGAGAGGTGAGCAAAGAATAGAGTGAGCTGAGGGTTCTTTTGGGGGGGGGATGATGATGTGCAAAAAGGTTTAAACTGGTGGTGTGGGTGTGTGTAACAAAAATATTGTTTTTATACACTGGACAAAGGAAGGTGAGAGAGTACAGCATGGGGCAGGGAACTCCTTTGGGAAATCAAAGAGGAATGCTGCTCAGTTTAAGGATTCACATAATGCTGCTGCTGTTCTGGCAGATTTGTTTATTTTTGGGAACATGGACATGCCTAAAGAAGAATGTGGACATACAGTGTGGAGATGTATCATAAAAAATGAATGATGAGGATTCACTGAATGTTTCTGTGGCTTTTTACAGTCAAGTTAAGTATAGCTCTTACAGTTCTGTCCTCATAAAAACACCACTGCTTGTTGACTGATATAAGTGAAAATACCTACACAACACAAAGGATAATAAAAAAAACAGAAACATCTGTAGCCCTTCTATTAAACTGACGGCACAAATCCAGAAAATGGATGCAGCCACATACACGTTCACATACAAGTGAGAAAGGTCTTTCATGTTGACTCCCCAGAGAACAGGGAAATGTGTGTGTGTGTGTGTGTGTATGTGTGTGTGTGTGTGTATGTCATCCACGGAGGCGTGCCTCTCTGTTCACCCTCTGATGCCCTGCCTGTGACTGCAGGGGAGGAGCTACAACAAGCTCATTGCCACCTTCTAGACAAAAGACAACGTGAATTTGAGAATGTGTTTGCATGATGTGTTGACACTTCATTCACACTGAATCCATGCACACAAGCACACGTGTCCTCATACTGAGCAAAGAGAAGCCTACAAATTGTTTAATTATGAGTAATCACAACACAGGTTAGTGAAATAACTGCAGCATCTTCCTCTTTCTGACATTCTCTCTTGTCTCTCCACACACACATTTAACTACTTTTACCACTGTGGTTTCAATGACCACAATACATTTGTCCCAACACAAGAGAAAACACAAGAAATACGTGTTTATAAAAATAACCCTTGGAAATACACATAACATGAAACTGAGAAGCATACTGACATACTTTTCCTCCTCATCTCCCTTATTTCACTTCATCATCTCTATTTTCTCCTTTCCTCCTCCTTCTTCTCCTCTCTTCTGTCCTATAAAATGACCTTGAAGGTCGCACCAGTGCACTACACTCACAGGCTTTGTGACAAACTGTCGTACCTGCAGAAACACACACACACACACACACACACACACACACACACACACACACACACACACACACACACACACACACTCACATACACAGCACCTGAGCCCAAGCACCAACACACACACACACACACACACACACACACACACACACACACACACACACACAACAACACCATGCTGAGAGTGGTTTTCCTGGCAGAGATGTGCTGAATTGATCGCTGTTCAGACATTGCAGAGGTCAGATGTAATGAATCAATCACACATGCATCAGCATCTGGAACAGCAGCATACCGTTTCAAGGCCACAGGCTCTGAAGCCCCACTTTGATGCATTGTGAACCTCTACATTAACATGACCAGGAGGGATTGGCAAGATTTAGCAATATGGACTGGGGGACTTATAGATGTGGGATGTCTCCGATATTGGGATCGATAATGGCAGCAGACAATTCCAATAAACACAAAAACCACACTTCCCACACATATTTTATGCACAACGTCAGAGTAGAAGCTATCGATCCTTGTGTCTGGGCTGTGCTAAACAATGTACACCACACTGAAGTTGCAAAGTTAAAAATATTACAACAATTTGTCAAGTAAACAAACTAAGTGATACACCATAACAAGGACCAAAAACAACTAAAGCACATACATTGGCTCCTCTGGCTTCACACAAGATACACAAGAATAAGAGGTGAGGTCTGTATGTGTGCGGCTGCTGAAGCAGGGAAGTCTACTTCGTTTACTGTTAAATGAAAGTGAAGAAACAGAGGGAATTAGAATGTCAGTATTAAAGGAAACCACATCTGTGGTAAATCGTACAAAAGGTTTCCTCGAAGGTTTGATCAGTCTCTGAACAAAGCTGTATTGTAACTTTGCATACAAAAACAGCTTCCATTAAATGGCTAAAGCCTGAGTCAGCATAACAGCACTATAACACTGTGACACAGATATGAAACAATACAGAAAAAACAGTTAATATTAAGGAATCTTTTGGAATATTTTATTAAATTACTACAATCATTCCTAGAAATCTGACTAGACATGGCACAAAACTAATAAATAATATAATAATCTTACAAACAAGTGTCTTTCGTTATCACCTCTCAGTACAGTGGATCATAGCTGGAGTCAGGTCTAAAGCCTGGATAATCTACATCTGATCATTAGCATCACCCACAGAGACTTGACCTGCCCCATCCATCACACCAACCTGCTCTTCCCTGTCTGACCTCACTCTCTCCATCCCGCTATTCTCTCCTGTAGCCTACTGCTCCATGTACAGTATGGTCTGCGGGTCAAGTTACGGAGAAATAGACTGTGATGTGTGACAAATCCCTCCCCCCCCAAACCTGCACCGCATCGGGCCTGCGGAAATAACAACGAGCAGATCCATATTTAGCCATGAGCGAAACCGAGTCGGCACCAAAGACCCAAAACCCCCTACAAGCAGAAATACGTGCAACACTTCTTCAAGAAACCGATACTGGCCTGCAAAGCATTGTTGCAAAATGACCCCGCAGTGTGTTTTCAGTTGTGCTGCGACTTACCTCCAGGTTTCTCTGGTGTTGATTCATTTAAGAATGTCGGTCACACGCGGGGAGTTGCAAAAACGCAACACAAGCGTGTCTTTCCACTCTCTCTGTCTGTGAAACAGTGCAAGGAGAGAGAGAGAGAGAGAGAGAGAGAGAGAGAGAGAGAGAGAGAGAGAGAGATGCTGCGGAGAGGAGGAGGGAGGAGGAGGAGGAGGAGCGGTGCTGATGCTGCGGCCGACACCTGGCAGAGCATCCTTTTTCTCAGGTTTTTGTCTCTCAACACATTTGCGCTCTCTGCCGGATCATGAGAGAACTATGATGTGCGCCCACGCTGTAGAATCAGTGGATTTGTCTATAAACACACCCAAAGAAGGAGTTTTTTTAAAAGCTCGTTTTATTCACAGGACAGATGCACTGACTTTAACAAAAAAAAGGGAAACAGAGGACAAAAAGACAAGCAAAAGCAATGCAGGCATTCCTAACTCATAGGAGTTACTGTGTATTATTAAGTTAACTACACAGTGACAATGCTATTAAAGTTAGTATATGTGGGATTATTGTGTGATTGGGCATTTTGTTGAGATCATTCTTGGTATCACTGGGTCGGATCGGTCCTGACACTACCAGCAGGTGGCCCCAAAGTAAAGATATTTTAAATCCCACAAACGGTGACTTTTAATGTGAAGTATAGCAGAATAGTGACAATAGTTTAGCATTCTAACAGAGACCTGGAAGCCATTTTAAGCTACAGGTGTCGGTATACACCTGAAAATAACATTAAACCTGAACGCACTTGACAAACTTCTCAAGGCCCACTTACTTGCTTTTTCTAGCTTTCAGTTAAATCTCATGTTCCTCCTCAGCAGTTTGTTCAATCATCATTTGTTCAGGTGGCATTTGCTCTGTTGCCCTCACCAGCAAATATGGACCACAACTTCCTAGTCCACTGATACACTGACAACTATCTCCATGACAACCTGAGCAACCCCTCTGCCGGAGAAGGCTGTGAGGAGGAGTTTTTTGCAAGGCCAATATGAACTTTCTTGCTCACTACTATGTACATCTGCTTAATTTTAACCATTTTGACACGACAATGATGTTTTTAAAAAGTTGCAGTTTTGTACGTAAATGCAGCGAGAACAAAATAACGCTTCTCTTCAGTGAGGCAATGTTGAGCCAGGAAACTTGAACCACAGTGATGAAAAACAAAATGAGAACGATGAGTGACAGACTCGAACAGACACTCTGTTTTTGTAGTTTTAAACAGACTTAAAGCAAACAACGACCAAGACAAAGTCAAGCAAAAAGGGCTACAAAAAGAAAGAGTGTAGGGAAAAAAGTGATGTAATCACAGCAAAATGACATAAACATGATGCAGCCGGTCATCAACACTGGTGATGGATTTGAAGCCTATTTATGTGACACATGTTGTAAGCAAAAGCTATGGTTAGAAGGGTTTTAAAGCAGCAGGGGGAACAAAAGGAGCTCCTTTTTTTTAAAATCTATTCATATATGTGTATACATAGTATTTATTTCAGAAGTAAACTCTGAGGTTTGACATGAAGGAACAATAAGTCGTCGACTTATTATGCCAGAAGACAGATTTTCAAATACACATGAATGCCTTTAAATTGATCAGAAAACCAAATATAAATTTCATGGAGAAAAAACAAATAATTACCACCATATTCACACCTAACAAGGAGACTTTAAGCTAAAACATTAATCAGTTAAATTACTGTTTTATTTTTATACCTGGCATAGCTAGATTTCTTTGACACAAATTATTATGGGAAATTTTAACAATTTTTCATGTGCTTTGACGATCTGTGGGACTACAAGTTTGTGAAGAACTATCAAAAAAGTAGGTAAGTAGTAACGTGTTATGTACAATAATTACCAAAACCCCCGGAAAAGGCACGCATGGTTGAAGTAGTAACGCAATGTCACAGACTATTATTACGCTTTTACTGTGAAAGGCTGCATTATGGGCAGCCTAAGAAGGATCTCAAGGAACTTGTGTCTGCCACAGTCATGCTAATATTCCGTATTTCTACTTTCATAACTGCACTTTTCTGTAAATAAGGTATTGACGGGTAAAGTAAGGTGAAGGCAGTGATTCTGCCGACCCTGAGGATAAAGTTTCAGTTGTACTGATCATGTAAACACAATATAAAGAACACAATGTTAGACACAAACAGGGTAACATAAAATAAGCCTTTTCTCCAATTTACAAATAATTTACTGCAAGAAATATAAACAATATCTTATATACACAATCTTTCTACTTTCTACTGCTTCAACTTATAGACAGCTACTTTTGAAAGGACTCCCAAAACCACAGTGAAAGCACTTACGGGTTAAAACAAATGGAAACATAACATAACATGATATGGGTTGATGAACAGGTCTGCATTTAAATGATCATTAACCTTTTAACTACCCACTGAAAGGTTATTTATAAAAATACTTTTGGGGATTTTTATTGCCTTTATTTTGAAAGAGCAGCTGATGAGTGGGGAGAGGAAAATACATGCAGCAAAGCGCTGCAGGTTGGAATCAAACCTGGGCCACTGCAGTAAGCATAGGACACACGCTTAACTAGGTGAGCTACCCGAACGTCCCAATAATTGTAAATATTAAGTTGAATCAGATATGTAATCTGAAAAACACACTGGAAATGACCATGTTCTAAAAAGACATTAATAAACATGAGTAAGGAGGTAAAATAAATTTAGAACATATACATTTATCCAAATTAAACATTTTTAGAAATAAAAGTCGGCCTGTATCTTTTTTTTTTTTTAAAAGAGAGACTTCATGTTACAAGCTACAGATGCAAAACGACACAGCAGCCAGCACTGTGAAAATCCACTATAATCTAATGTTACATGACATTAACAGACATTCTGTGCTGTCAATTAATCTCTTTGTCCTGATGTTTAACACATTTCAGATTTTTTATATTTACCAAGGGTGTTAAATAGCCCAAATAAGAGTGTATTTTAACAACACTACTTATTATTGTGAAGAGGATGTAAAATCAGGTATTTGTTAAACTAATACTAGTCACATGGTTTGATGATTTAAAAATGTATCTGGGAGCCTTTCATACTTAATAACTTCTTCTGAATCTCTGTATCTCAGAGTAAAGACCTGCCCAACAGGACATGTTGTTTAATCTCTTGTTACAGCTTTCTTTCTGCATCATCATTTGCAGCCAGATCAATGGCTTGCTCATGACTGCTTCTTGCCAAGACATACACCTGCATTAAAACTATACAGTAAGGTGCCAGACTTTCCTTCTTGCAAGAAAAAGCCTGGTACCTTAGATGGTATCAATGCCATCCTTTGGACTTGAAATTGGACTCATGAAGACTGTAAGCTACAGCTCCCTGCTGGCCCACTTACACGTGCAGCCATTGGCCCGACACCCTATTCTGCCAGTGAACAAGGGTAAATATATCAAGCCAACTGTGTATTGTGAAAGCTCTCACTTGTCAGGGAGGACTGTTAGAGCAGCATTTCAACATCGGTTGAGTTGGCAGAAAATGTAGCTATTGTATCCAATCTGTAATACTAACTGTGTCATCTGATTTTCTGAATTGTGTAGATATATACAGTAGTTATAATGCTTCACAGAAAGAAGGACAAAAAATGTACTGCTGCTGAACTTTCTGGCACGCAGATGAAAATTGTTACCACATGTGCACACAGTCCTACTACCAGCAATGTAACCCAGACACTCTCCAAAGAAGTAACTATGACCCATCATGAAGAGAGACAAATATTAGGGTCTCCCAGAATCTCTGACCCCGCCCTAAAACACTGACATGATTTGTGTCTCCAACATGCACCCTCACCCCAGCCAACACAGCCAAGCGATAAGGCCAAGCAAAAGGGGGTAACAAGCACATAACAAAATACTGAAATAACAGAACATGTCAATTATGGCTTCAGAAATCCTGTTGTTCTACCCATCAGTCAAGGGGAGAACTCACAAGTTCGTGAATTTGAGGTCAAAGTTATTTATCATTTTCCCCAAAGCACTCCCTTGGCCAGTGAGGGACTGGGTCCGGTCAAAAAACTCTTGCACAGACAGACTGGCGTTGGGGCAGGTTGAGCCACGCAGCATGGTCTGATGCTTCCTACAAATCTCCATCGTCCTCTTCCCTGGTATCCATCCCATAGTGCAGGAAGGCCTCCTTTTCTGGGGACATGGCGGCCGTGGCCGCCTTCATCTCCGTGTCTGGAGACGAGCGGGCTGTAGTTGCCTCAGTACTGTGATGAATGCCGTAGCCGAAGTAAATCACTAAACCTTAAAAAGCAGAGCAAGACACGACATCATTGTTTGTGTAATATAGTCTCTCTAAAATTAAAGTTTTTTGTTGTTGTTGTGTCAGCTCATGCAGAGTGAAAATGAACTCACAGAGACCTGAAGCTAGCTTGATATATGTTATCCCTTTAAGTTGCTTTTAAAATTTATATTTAAGGTTCTATTTGATTAATATCTGACATCTAACATTTGAGAGTCAGCTTTTATTGAGAACATCTATGTTTCATTTTGGCAGCCAACACTCACAACTGTCACATTCTTGGCTTGATATACCACCAAAGATATGTTGCAAATAAAGAAAAACAGAATGATGACACAATAAGGCTGACTTAACCATTCCTTTGTTGGAATGCCTATTTCAAGCTATTAAAGTAGGCAGTGTTCCAGCTGTAAATAATTAGTTCGAGAGCATCTGTAGTGAAGTGGATGAGTAGGAAAACAACCATCCTCTAGCCAGAGACACTCAAGTGAAAGATTGTTTCCCATTAAGGGATCAATACAATTTCTACAACTAGTAAGTCAGTTTAAACCCTGGAAATACAATTATGATGATAGAAATAGAGGCTACCTACCTATAGCCATCCAGATAGAAAATCGTATCCAAGTGCCTCTGTCCAGCTGCATCATCAGGTAAACATTAACAAACATACTGATCACTGGAATGAAGGGTAGCAGTGGGACCTAAAGAGTCAAATATCATAGAAGGGAAACATGGATTTAATAATTGTGTTAAAACATCACAACATCAAACCTTAACTGTAAAACAACAACAACAACTGCATTTAATCCATACTATCCTACATAGAATGAAATTCTGAAATCAAACCTTGAAGGAAAGTTTTGTCTTGCTCTCAGGCTGTCTCCAGATGATAAAGGTGAGGAGGAGACACACCATGAAGATGACACTGAGGGCTATGACATTCCACACAGCAATGCCTCCCTGCACTGCCAGTATGCTGAACACCAGGATCAATGTTCCTGCAGAAGTA